ACGTGGTCGAGCTCTCGCAGAAGGCACAGGACGACAGGCTCACAAACGCGGAGCGCGAGATTCGCGACCTGCGCGCCGAGCTCGGCATTGTCAAGAAGGAGCCGCCCACCGTCAAGCAGTACATCCCTGGCAGCACCTTCGACCGCGAGACCCGCAGCCCGCCCTGCCCACCCGTCCTCCGCCCCAGCAGGCAGAGCGCCCCCTCCGCCACCAGCAACCAGAACCCCCTCTCCGCTCCTCTGTTGCACCTTGTGTCTAGAGCTCCGACCATTATATCTCCGCGCGGCACTGCGCGCCGTTGCAGCCTCACTCCGCAGACTGCCCCGTCCCACCCCCGCCGCCAGCCCTGCCCCCTCCCACTCCGCCATCAGCCCGCGCGCTTCCTCTGCCCCGACCCCTTGTCGCACGGCACGGCACAGCGCCGCAGCCCCAGACCACCGCAGCGACGTCCTTCGTCCTTCGGCCCCGCGCAAGATTGACTTTTCGCCAGAGTGACCTTTGGTGCGGGCTCACAGGGCCCCCCCGCCAGAATTGGCCTGCACGCTTGGATTTGGTCACCCCGCGGCCGTCTGAAGCCGCACACCAAAGTCACTCTTGCACAGAGTCGCTTCACGTGCAGCCGACCCCCCCCACCCCGGCAACCAGCTCCGCTCCTTTCCCCAGCAGCCCGCGCACCCTCTCGCTCCGACACCTTCGGCTGTTGCACAGGACGGCGCGGCCCCGTAGCCTCGCTCCACCGCAGCCAGAGAGTCCATTGCTGGATTATTTGTCCTTTCGAACGAGAGCCGTGGCACGCCTGCCATGTGTTTCCCTGTCTCTCCTTTGCTTCATGTTGTTCTTCGAGCCTCAGCTCTATTCGAACAGACGTGGTGTTTTAGACAACCTGCCAATTGCATCGCACGCTCGCGCAAGTGGCGTAGCCTCTCCGCATGTGTTTTGGTTATTATGCTTTGGGCTTATGTGGGACATGTATGCGCGCACCACCTACCTACGGGGCTGGCCGTCGACGCCGGCCCCCGCACGCGCGAGTTCTGTCTTGCATGAGCCCGTTGGCGCCTCCTCTCTTTACCATCCCTATTTCTATCGCTCTCTCTCTCTCTCTTTCTCTTCCCCCCGTCCCTCTTGACAGCCGCTTTTTGTTTGAATGGCTGGCCGGTTAGGTCGTAGGGGGTCCGCGCACAGCGCTCATATCTATTAGTTATGTTATCCCCTACTGTGTGCAGCTGTGTGCGACGGCGAGAGCCATCCTCAGGGACGTCAGGCTTGCTTCGTGTTGTTTTGAAGAAAGTCAACGCAGTAATAAAACAACCGCCCTCTATCCGCATAGTTGTTGGAAGGTCTTGGGTCGACTGTGTTTGGCGCTAAGAAGAATGCATGATTTTGAACGTCGATGTGCATCCTGAAGTTTCATGATCGTGCACGGTGAGAGGGTATCAGGCGAAGGGCCCGAACCGCCCTACCGACGAGCCTGGCGGTGGTGGCGCGAGGGGAGCACTTGTTTACAAGGAGGGGGGATGGAGGGGAGGGAGGAACAGGCTTCCAAAAAGACAGGAGTTTCTGCCTGGGCGTGCCGCTTTTGACACACGGCCGTGCCCGTGCCAGGCGCGTGGCATGGCGTACCCACCTGCTGTGCCCTGCCCGCGTGTCGTGCCGTGCGCTCGAATGTCGAGGTTGGCTCACCATGTGTCCTCTCGTGCAGCTCTGGTGTTTAGGGCCTCTGCTCCGCCGCAATGTTGGCAGACAGTTTACACAGCAAGAGGCTCCGTGCTTTCAGCCAATACAGCTGCATGATATCAGAACAGGCCTGCCAGAGGGGCGTCGGTCCAACTGGCTTCTATCGCGAACGAAGCCGCTGTTCAGGCGTTCGAAGTCCCCGCTTTTGAATTATGACTCCCATGTGCTGGCAGGTGCAGAAGATTCATGTCTTCGGCATGATGATGGGGTGTTCACATGCGTATATGCAATGTTGCTTGCAATGGAGATAGAGGTAAGCAGTCCCTCGCCGCCAGCCCGCCCATTAAGATTTCCGCAGGAAGTAATTCGGCGTGCGCGCCAAGGTTGATGCGAGATACGCTGTCTTCGGCCGCAGAGCCCCAGGAGCTCAACGGACCGAGGCTGCGCCCCACGCATGCGAACGAAATTCACCAGGAACTTGCAGCCCTGATGTCTCGGGAAACCGGGCTTGACGCAAGAACGAATTCTGAATTTGATCGGCCGCTGTGGAGCCTTTCTGGAGTGTATGGGAAGGCCTCGCGCATGTTGCACCATTCATGTATCCCAGCTCAGAGCCGGGCATACACCATCACAAGTTTCGATTATAAGATGAAGCGATGTCAAGCATTTGAAACAGAAGAAAAGAAAGAGATACGAAGGGACAATTAGGCGGATACGCAGGCGGGGTAGGAGCAGGAGGCATAGAAGGAGGAGGTGGAGAAGGCATAGGAGGAGAAGGAGGAGAAGAAAGGGGAGGAGCGCCGAAGGGGCTATGCGATCCCAGGTCATCAAGTGGGACCCGGACAAGTTTCCGCGGCCGCTTCGGTCCTTCACCACGCAGGAGCACCGCCCCCCCCCCGACCTGCGCGCCGCTCGGTCGACGCTTCGCCTTGTACGAGGAAGGACTTGGGTCCAGGATCGAAAATCCAGGAGACAGAATCGAGGGTCAAGGATCGAGGGTGAAAAGTTTGGGCCCGTCGGCCCCGGCCGGCCACCATGGACACACTCGTTGTTTGCCGGAGGCGCCTCGGTGGTACGAATCACCTGCGCGCGCCAGACGCCAGAGCCTCCGTCTGACGCCGGCGTAGCCTGGCCAGCGCCGCGTAGCCGTCTCGTGGACTCGCTGACGCAGCGTGGGATCCCGCGTGCCGAGGATGGGAACTTCTACGGTCGGGAAATTTTGTCTTAGCATGTCGCTCCGCCAGTTTTGCCCCGCCACGCTTCGGAGCAACGCGCTATCCACATCCCCGTCCCCAGCGTCAACGTACCGAGCCTTTGCGAGCCTCCAGCCTCGCCGAGCCGAGCGACACGCTGTCCGCTCGCAGGGCATAGCGTGTCGCGGGGGCAACCGCCGCGACACGCTGAGCACAAGTTCCCGACCGTGGTGCCTCCCTGATCGAGGCTTCCTTGTGTTCAGCCGCTGGGGCTGCCCCGAGCCCCGGGGCATGCCGCGCGCGCGTGCTCGCGGGCGCCTGCGCACGCGGTGCAATTGCGCGCGCTTTCTCCATCTCCCCTCGCCGCTCCTCGCTCTTCCCTGCGGCCCCGCATTGTCGATTTGGACCGCCCGGTGCTCGAATCGCTGGTTGGAGCGCTTGGGAGCTCAGGTTGCCGATTTGGCGCTCAGGTCGCTGATTGGGGCGCCTGCGTGCTGCTTGATGCTCGGATTGCAGAGTCGAGCGCTTGCGTGCTTCGATTGCCGATTGGTGCGCCTGCGTGCATCCCCCTTCCATCCCCTTCCCTTGTATACATCTTCCCATGACCACTCCTCTCTCCCTCTTTATTTGCCCTCCTCGCTTCCATTCGCTCCACCATGATTCTCCCCTTCTCCTCTTCTCCCCCTCTTCCGTCTCCTCTTCCATCGTTTATCATTGTTCTCTTCCTTTGCCTCATGGATCCGTATCCTCCTCCTCCTCCTCCTCCTCCTCCTCCTCCTCCTCCTCCTGGTCTTTGCCAGGGCTCTTCTTCCTATCCTTCCTTGCCTCCTGCTTATTATCCTCTGTCTCCCGCTCCCTCCTCATTTCTTCTCCTCCTCCTCCTCCTCCCCTTGCTTTTCCCTTCCTCCTCCTCCACTCCCTCCTCCTCCTCCGCCTCCACTTTCTCCCTCATCACTCTTCCTTTTCATCCTCGTTCCTCCTCTTTCCTCATCATCATCATCCTCCTTCTCTTCCTCCTCCTCCTCACCAGCAGCATCAGCATCAACATCAGCATCATCATTATCATCAGCAGCATCATCATAATCAGCATCATCATCACCACCACCACCATCATCATTATCATCGATGCAAGGAGAGATTGCTCCGAACAGCCTGCCACCAAGCTCCCTCCTGCGATTCTCGATACGTTCCCTTTGCAGTGGCCAGCCAGAGGCCACCAGTGCGCCCGCACGTCTTCTTGCGTGCTGGCAGTTACTTGTCCTGTGGGAATTGCGGGGCCTTCTCAAGTTGGCGCCCCAAGAGGATGTTGCTGGCTTGCACGATGGCAAAGAACCTGACAACTCGCAGGCGCGATGCCGTCGAGGCAAACTCCTCCGAGGAGAACACCCCCACACAGGGGGTGAGGACTTCGCCAAGCGAAGCGGCCGAGGGCCGCAAGGCGCTGCCGGGCGCTGGACAGCGGCCGGGGGGCGAAAGTGGCAGGAGGCGCCAGCCCGTCTGCTCCGGCGCACTCTCTCGGGCCTCGGCTGGCAGCAGAGCGCAGCCAGGGGAGTTCAGGAAGAAGAAGACAGCTCCTCCTCCTCCTCCTCCTCCTCCTCCTCCTCCTCCTCCTCCTCCTCCCCCTCCTCCTCCTCCTCCTCCTCCTCCTCCTCCTCCTCCTCCTCCTCCTCCTCCTCCTCCTCCTCCTCCTCTCCTTTCTCCTCCTCCACCTCCTCCTCCTCCTCCTCCTCCTTCTTCGGGGCGATCCGGTGACCCCCCCGGTCCCTCCTTTGGTCGCCAGGCGGGGGGGGAGGGGGTGGGGGGGGGGGGGCTTTTGGGGGGTTCCCCTGAGGCTTGCCTGGCGCCTGCCAGGAACAGGTCCAGAGCTGGACGCGGGAGGGGAAGGCAAGGGAAAAAAACCTTGGCTCTTGACCCAAAAATCCCCACCACCCTTGACGTGGCACGTGCGGCGTCAGGAGGTGGGCGGCCTGCACACCAACTCTCCCCCCATAGAGGGTGCGAAGTCCCTGTGCGCGGGACGGGGTGGGCGGCAAGGTGGGACACCATAGGTCTCCCAAACATCAAGGCCAGGGCACCATACGCCTGGCCGACACTTCAGGGGAGGCACCACACGCCTCCCCGCCAAGTTTGAACTTTGCGTCGTACGCGAAATAACGAAGTTATTGTATGCGTTCATAGACTTCAAGGTTTCGTCATCCTCCTCCTCCTCTTCCTCCTCCTCCTTCTCTTCCTCCTCCTCCTCCACAATTATCCCATATGAATATTACTCTCCTCTCTTCACTGGTGACGTCCGAGAAATGTCCAGCCCCCCTCCGCGTATGGTTTTTTAACACAGGATTCCAGGGAGATGGGTTTTCGCTTGGGCTTTTTTCCCAAAATGCTGCTCTCGCCGAAGCGCTGGCCTCATGTTCGGGCTACCGCTTGTTCCGAATCGCGATCCCGCTGATGCGCTCGCCTCATTTCCGCGCTTCCGCTCGTTCCGATGTGTGCTCCCGCTGTAGCGCTGGCGTCATTATTTCCAGCGCCATGCCACGGCATGATTCTCGGTCCTTCCAGATGAGCCCCAAAATCTAAAACATTGCCCCCCGAAAAAACTTGAAATTGCCACGAACCCCGACCTTGGAGGACAAGTGGGCGTGACTTGCGAGGAAGAGAAAGAGAACGAAGAGGATGCCTATACGGCGCATAATGATGCCGATTCCAATATTGTTCGTTTGACGCTGCACAGCTTTAAGGCGCATTACGCTGGTTCCCGTGTTGTCCGTTTCACGCTGTGCCACTTTGTCCGGGCGTCTCCGACCATCTTGGATCTTTGTTGGGCAGTCTTCGGGCCATGGGGCGTCTCTGGCCACCTCGGGGCCCTCTTAGGCAGTCCTGGGGCCCACTTGGGGGCCTCTAGGGGCTTCCTGGAGACCTCAATGTCGGTCCCTGCCCCCCCTCTGGGGCCCCTCTTGGGGCGCTCCTGGAGCCTTCTTGGGCCGCCTCGGAGGCCTCTTGGGCCGTCTTGGAGCGTCTTGGGCCGTCTCGGAGCGTCGGGGGGCCGATAAAGCGAAGGCGCGAAAAACCTTCAAAAACAATAGGAAATCAATGATTTGTGCCTCTCGGAGCCCTCTGGGAAGCCTCCCCGGGAGTGTTTGGGGCTGCCTGGGCCGTGTAGGAGCCATCTGGGATGCTCTAGACCGCTCAGTCGGTGGCACGTAGCCCTCTTGGACCATCTTGCGGATCATCTTGGGGCCGCCCGTGCCACCCGAAAGCGCGTCCGCCGAAATGGGGCCGTCTTCCGCCAGACTTCTGCCAGCGTAAGCCCGTAAGCCCCGAAATCTGAAAAATACCCCCCGAAAAAACCATCGGAAGTAATTACACATGTGGTGTCGATTCGCTGATTTGGGGGGCCGCAGAAGCCCCCCCCCCTTTGGGGCTTCGCCAAGCAATGCTATGTCAGGCCACGCGTCCTCCGAATCGCGTTCCCGCTGCAGCGCTGGCCTCATTTCCGCGCTTCCGCTCGTTCCGAATTGTGCTCCCGCTGCAGCGCTGGCGTCATTATTTCCAGCGCCATGCCACGGCATGATTTTCGGTCCTTCCAAAAAATCCCCCAAATCTAAAGAATTGCCCCCCCGAAGAAGCCTTCGGAAATGATCATACATTTGGTGTCGATTTGTTGATTTTCTGGGCCGTAGAACTCCCCCCGCGGACCTTAAAAAGCGATCTGGCTGGAAAGCGCCGACCCGACTTGACCCCGTGAGGGGTCCAGGGGCCCAGTGTGAGCCGATTGTTCAAGGAAACCAGACCATCGAGCCTGGCAGCCCGCCGTACTATTCCCTGACATCCGTCCTCACCCGCCGCAGCTTCCCCGCCGTCGTCGTCTGCGTCGTTGTCGCCGTCGGCAATTTCTGTGCGTTCCCTGGAGCTTCCGGAAGTCTTCGGGCCATCCGCCACGCCTCGTGCAGAGCTGTCCGGGGAGCCCAGGGAGACTTGGAAGGGGGCTCGGGGAACGCAAGTCATAGTGTCGAAAGGAAGGGGGGGATTACGCTATTACAGTACCCCTACCAGACGGCACTTGGCATTCGAAAGCACCCACATCGGGCAGGCACGGTTGCGCAGGACATGGAGCCGGGATTCTGGACAGGCCTTCTCCTTTCGTACACGGGCCATTTGCACTCCGAGGCATCCGCTGCCATGCCATGGCATGGAATGCGATGTTGCGTTGTGCTCCGCTGTGCGACGCCATACTTTGCGATTTTACGCTTTGCGATGCAATGCTACACTACGCAATGCCAAGCCATGCTATGACATGCTCTGCCCTGCCGCGCTTCTACACCGTGCTATGCCGTGCATTACCATGCATCGCAAACCCTCTCGGTATCGTTGCCTTGCTCGAAATCAGGCTGTGCGCATAAAGAGGAGATCTGCGCCATGGCAAGGGTTGGGAGAGAGGGGTATGACGACTGATATGACGCGAGCGCACCTAGCTTGTCCTCCCCCCCTCTCTCGACTTCCCCTCCTCTTTGACGCCCCTTGTTCGCCCCCGTGGGCTTCTGGTCAGCCAGACCAGCGGCAGGTGCACGAGCTGCTCAAGGCGAGGCGCGAGCGCGAGTTGTCCCATGTCCGGAGGCGCGGAAAGGACAAGCACGAGGCGGTCCCCCGCGCGTGCTAGCCTTCTTTTCTCCTCCCTCTTCATACTCCCCTTCCTCCCTCCTCCTCCTCCTCCTCCTCCTCCTCCGCCTCCTCCTCTTCCTTCTCCTCCTCCTCCTCCTCCTCCTCCTCCTCCTCTTCCTCCTCCTCCTCCTCCTCCTCCTCCCCATCCTCATCCTCATCCTCATCCTCCTCATCCTCCTCGTCCTTGCGGTAGCGATTTGCGCTCAAGTTTTGGCTCAAGGCGGCACCAGCAGTATTGTCTTCCCCGTGCCTCCCACCTTTCGACCCCCTGCATGCTATCCGCAGCCACCGCGTGCGCGATGGCACCAGCGGAACCGTACGTGCTGATGCTCGTTGTGCACCTCTGGCGGATGCGGATGCTTGCTTCCCGGCTACGAGTGCACCTTGAAGGCTTAGCACCAGCTGCGAGGCCAGCCCGCCAGCATGGCATCCTCGGTGCCGCAACCAGCAATAAGCTCGTGCAGCTCGACCACACCTACAATTGTATGAGGCACTTGGACGCAATCTCGACCGAAGAGTTTTTCAGCAAGGTTTACAAGGAGGCCTACTCCGACAGCAACGAGTTGAGCTTCGCCTCGACGACGTCCTGCGCCAGCGAGTGCCAGACCATCGATCAGGGGCGACGACCGCGACGGCAGCGACCAGGACAATTTCAACCACTAGGTCGGCATCGACGCTTCGGACATCACGGCCAGTTCCTACATTGAGGAAGAACTTAACCACTTGGGCTCGCATACGGACTTCAGCACCGCGACTGGTGCGTTTCTCGTTGACGAGGTCGGCCTCGTCTCACATGTCGCCCAGGCTGCCGAAGCTGTTTTGCTAGCTGAGCTCCAGCAGCATGAGCGGACAATCGACGACAGCCGCGTGAACCCAATCAGTTGTGATACCGAGGACTCTTGCGAGCTGGGTGCCGACACGGAGCAGCACATCGACGCGTTTTGCCGTGACTACGCCTGCGAGTAGGACCACGGCAGACGAGGCCCAAACATTTCACGGTCAATGTCGGTTTGATGCGATTCGCGGCAGACGAAGAGATGCACTAGACACAGTTCGACCAAGGGAAGCTTTAAAGTTACCGACATCTGTTCCGCAGCACTAGCCACATTGGCAGCAGCGATGCCAGACGGATATTGAGGGCCAGTCCTTTATCCTTTAGTGTGGAGTGAGTTTACGCAAATGTGGGTGCGTATGGTATGATGCATTGGTGGATTCGCTTGATCAGCGTCGCACACAGCTGAGCAGAACGGATGCGTTTGGAGGCCTATGCAGTTTTTCTGTTGCTTGCAGTAGCTAATACATGCCATCAGCCCGTGTCGTATGAATATTGTTGCGAATGTAGTACGAGTTGCTGTTGTTGTTTCTCCCACCTGCGTTGTATGCCATGCGTCGTTAACCGCGGAGGCGAGCTCTCTGTTCATCAGTCGAAAGGTTGTCTCTTTGTTGATTTGGCTGCTGCTTTCACTTGTGTCGAGCTTTTGCCACCGCCACCGTTGATCGTCAGACTGCTGCGGTACCGTATTTGGGTCGGGTCGGCTAAAAGCTTTGCCGTTGCTTGGGCCAGTTTACGCCTCAGCCTCCTCCTCTTCCTCCTTCCCCTTCTTTCGGATCCTGAAGAAGATCAGTTGGACGCCAGCGCGTGTGCGGAAGATGTCGGGGTTGTCCTTCCTGCGCCTGTTTTGAGGCAGGTTGAAGCTAGTTTTTTGTTGCCGCCAAGTGCTTGGAGGGCCTCCTTCTGCAGCGAGAGAATGTGTGGTTGTGTGGTCGCCCTGGCGTGGTCAGCATGTGCATCGGCCGTATCTGACTGAATGTATTGTGTTAGTTTCACTCGTGTTACTCGGCTGTCCTCTGTCTCAGTTGCTGGCTTCACTGAGTATTCAGGCGCGCAGGTCGGCCCTGAAGCCACCCTGGATAGTCAGTCGGAGAGTGCTACTTCCAAGGTCTCGGGCTAGTTGCTGCTAGCCGCTCCCCTTCTGAGGTTTCCTGCCTCACTTACGAGTCCTCAGTCTTCTCTATCTTCTCCTACCCGTCTCAGTTCCTCCCGCTCCCTCCCTTCCTTCTTGCGCAAGAGCCCGCCTCGTCCGCGAGCTCCTGAGGCTGCCTCCAAATGCTTTCAAATGGACAGAGCTCCTAAACCTTAACGCGTGGATGCTGGGGCTTGGTCTGGGCTCCATGACTTTGCTTGCCCAGGCTTGCCAGGTTGCGGATCTAATCTGCGCTGCTCCATGGTCAAATTGTCTATTTCCTTCGTCAGGCGCGGAACCCAACATGTTGGAGGAGGCAGGAGTCCATCGCCCAGTAGTTCTGCGCGGTCGCCGAGTCGCGACTGGCAAAATAATTAAAGATGATTGTGGCCAATGCCGAAGGCAACCAATCCAACGAGGAAGCTGAAGGTGAAGATCAACTTCGGTCCTTCCCAGAGAAATAAGATAAGCCGAAGTGGATAATGATCAGTTTCTGTGCCAGCAATGTGGCGAACCCAACTCTAAATGTAGAGCCTTACAAAGAATGTGTCGTGACGCCGAAAACGCAAGCGAGACCTCCATTCCAAAACAGACAAACAATATGATGCACGTGTGGCCTCCCCCAGAATCCCCACCTGGCCGCCCGCCGCCCCGCCCCGGCGGCGCGCCGCTCACGCCCCTGCGGCCTGCAGGCTGCGCTGGCTCTCGCTGCGTGTCCTCTGCTTGGCTCCCAGGGCTGCTGTCTGCCCTCCCACCCGCGCTCGATCTCAGGGCACCATCACACCACTCGATCGAGGGGACGGGTGAGAGGAGGAGGAGGAGGAGGAGGAAGAGGAAGAGGAGGAGGAGGAGGAGGAGGAGGAGGAGGAGGAGGAGGAGAGGAGGAGGAGGAGGAGGGGTGCCAAGGTGGACCTTCCGAGACAATCGCGTCGGTGCACGCCTCCAGGATTCTGGCGCCGTCTCGACGGGCGTCCTCGTGGCCTCCTTTGCCGCGCCCCCCTCCTCTTGCCGCCAACTGGCGGTCCACAGAGATCCCTCCGTGCCGGTCGCATTGGCTTGCGGGTCCCTCCCTCCGTGCTGGCTTCCCCGCCAGTGCAGCTCCCCTCTTGGGGGTCGGCCTCACGCCGCCCCACTGCCCGCCGAACTTTGCCGTGCTCCTTGCCCGTTGCCGCCTCCGCCTCCCGCTCGCCACAGCAGTGACCAACGCGGCGCCGAACGCGTGCGCTCGCAGGGTGTAACGTGTGTGTGTGTGTGTGTGCCAACACCACATTGCTCACCCTCCGGATCTTCGCCTCCGGCCCCTGTCCGCGGCGTACCTTTTCCAGTGCAAGTTCTCCGGCACCGCCTGCACCCCGGGCCCCGCCCACTCCGGCCGCCTGAGGCCCCGCCTGCCTGTGAGAGTCTCCCTAATTAAAGCTGCGCGTAGCCCGCCTAGCTTTTAGCGGAAGAGGTTCACTCTCGCCCCGCCGACCAAAAAGTGTGTGTGTGTGTGCGGGGTGCGCTGTCGGAGATGGGGGGGTGCGGGGGGCGGGCAGAAAGTACCAAGTGCTCGTCTCGCTCAGTTTTTCTCGGCCCCGCCCGCGGTTCAACAGCAGGGCTTCACCGAGAATCCGTGTGAGGAAAGGGTTTTTATTCCCCCAGAAGTGCGCTTCTTCTCTGTTGTACGGAACGTGCCCGCGCTGTCGCATTCTGCCGGTCCTGATCGGCGCCCGATGGCTGGTGACCCATGCATTGACCCCCCATGACATGGCCAGCGCTGTCGCATTCGGCCTTTCCTGGTCGGTGCCCTACGGCTGGTGCCATGTTCTTGATTGTTCCTTCTGGCTGGTCCGCGCTGTCGAATTCGGCCGTTCTTGGTCGATGGGTTACGGCTGGTGCTTTCTGTTCCTTGTAATCGGCGCCTTCTGGTCCTGTGTTGGTGCATGCGCTGTCCGAGGTGAGCGGGAGGCACTTGACTCACCGCCGTGCTGGTTCGAAGGATTATCATGTCCATCGACCTGTCTCCTCGTCCTCCTCCTGCCTCTCCACCCACGTTCGTCCCCTTCCTCACCCGCGACCCTCCTCCTCCTCCAGGGAGGTTGCCGGGCTTTGGGCGGAGGCCCCTGCCGGATGGAGCCACTCAGGGCCGAAGGGAGACAGCCTCGGGCAGGGGGGCCCTCAGCCTCCAGGGCCCACTGGAGGTGCTCGGGAGCAGTGGTTGGGATGCGTCGGGCGCAGTCGGCGACCGAGAGTCTGATGGCTTCCAGTCCACCCCCCTTCCCTGCTGCATGCTCTCTGAGTCGTCGCCCGCCGGGGTGGGGGGAGGGGGGCCTACAGACATGGCGGCGGTGGTTGAAGGATGTCCCGAGAAACTGAGGGACTGGAGAGCTTCAGAGAAGGTGTTCGCTGACGTGCAGCGAGAAGTAAATCTCTGAGTCGGTCCCGCCACGGAATGGGAATCAACATGTCCGCACCCCCCAACAAAGTATAAGCCTCGGAACAAATTAGCGAACACATGCCACATTCATCCGTCAACGCCTCCCCCTCCCCCCAATGTTCAAAGTTGGCGGTGGGTCTGATGAGATAAACTTCGACCGCAGTCTCCCCCGCGCGTGCCAACATTGAGTTTGGGGGGGAGGGGGAGTGTTCAGTAATTGTTTCCCTCTACCGTATGTCATGGAGCCCCGAAAACTGTGTCAGGGAAGCTTGACGGTGCGCGTTGGACCTCCAAACGTCCGTCTCTGGTCCGCAGCGTGGGCCTGGGGCGCGCAGGGGAGCCCGACAGCCCTCCCATGGTGTGGCCACACGCCGCCACTGGAATGCGGGCTGCCATTGCGAAGCCTTCGGCTCGAGCACCCCAGTTTCGGCTGAGACAAGAGACAATAACTAGCAAACCGCACCCCAACATTCAAACTCGTTGAGCCCCTTGGGGCGCGCAGTGGACTGCGTGGAGCCCCACACGGTTAGAGAGAAGGCGAGCGGGGAAAGAGGGGGGAATAGGATGGGAAGGAGGATGTCGAGTACGATTTTGGCA